CCCGAAAGACCTCGGGCAAGGACCCGAAGGGGATGCTCGTGGTCCCCACCAGGGAGCACTGGGCCCGCAGGCTGCCCTGGGCCGCCGTGGTGACAGCCGTGGGCCGCTTCAAGATGTCGCTCCCCGCACTGCACCGCAACCGGCTGCTGGCCACGCTCGACCCCCTGGCCTTGGACAAGGGCACTCAGCCGTCTGAGCAAACCACGGCCTTGCCAGAGGTGCTCTGGGGCGACCAGGAGCCCCTCTCCAAGGTCAGAACCCCAGGGAAACCCTGGGTCCTGGTCCACCCCTCTGCCCCACCCCTCACCCCTCTGTGACACCCGAAAGTGGCTGCGGCAGGGCCAGCTGGAAGAGGCCGGGCCTCGCTTCCAGCTCTGCTCGCTGGGGAAACAAGGAAGACGTGCTGTGGCCCCCAGGCTGTGGCTCTGCGTCTCCCACCCACCACCGTCTGCCTATGCCCCCTGGCGGCGGAGCCGCTGGAGTGCCACCGCGCGTCCCCACTTCCCCTCCCTGCATCCACCCGCCGCCCTGCCGCTCCCTGTCACTGTCCATGCATCCTACGCTCCCCGAAGCAGAGCCCAAACCCTTTGTCCCATGTCCTGCACTCTCACAACCTCCCAACACTCCCAAAGCCAGCACCCCCACGTTCTGGCCCAGTACCCCCAACACGTGGCCATGGGAGAGCCCTCTGGCATCACCATGTTTTAGCTCCCTCGTTTTTTATTTTCATCTTTTTTTTTTTTTGTACTGAGGATCGAACTCAGAACCTTATGCTTGGGAGGCATCAGGACCACTGAGCTGAATCCCCGACCCTTTTATTTTTCTCTTTATAAATAATAATTCACATTCCATACAATTCCACAATATAAGGTGTGCGACTCAGTGGTTCTTAGTGTATTCAGGCTTGTGTAGCCATCATCACAATCAGGTATGTGCCACCATTCCTTACTTGGAGTTTATTTTTATACATGGTGTACAGTAAGAGTTCAACTTTATCCTCTTGCATGTGGATAGCCAGTTTCCCAGGACAATTTGTTTAAAAAAAAAAGAAGAAGAAGAAAGAAAAAGCTATTGTTTCCCTATTTAATTACTTTGGCATGCCTATAAAAAAATCAGTTGACTTTAAAAACAAGAATTTCCCTCTGAATTATCAATTATATTTCATTGATTCACAGTCCTATCTTTATGCTATTATTATACTGTTTTGATTAGTTGCTTGATAGGATACTGCACAATCAGGACATGTGACTCCTCCATCTTTGTTGTTCTTTTTAAAGACTGATTCAGGTTATCTTGGATTTCTATGTAATTGTCCTGACATTTCTACAAAGAGGTCAGCTTGGCACTTGATGAGATGGTGTTGAATCTTTAGATCATTTTGGGGAGCATTGTCATTTTAACAATATTCTGTCTGCCTATCTATGAACATGGGATGCTTTTCCATTTATCTAGGTCTTCTTTAATTTCTTGCAATAATATTTTCCAATTTCAGAAGTAAGTTTTACACTTTCTTTGTTCAATTAATTCTTACATATTCTTTTAGATACTTCAGTAAGTGGAAATGTTTTTCTTAGTTTTTTTTCAAGTGTTCATGGTAAGTGTTTAGAAATACAACTGATTTTTGTATATTGCCCTTGTTTCCTGCAACCTTATTGAACTTGCTTGTTCTATCCTTTCTTTCAGATCCCATTTAAAATTCTGAAGGGACATGAGCATGTTGTGAGTTCCTGCCACTTCTGTGTGAATGACACAAAGCTCCTCAGTGGCTCCTATGACTGTACTGTGAAGCTATGGGTAAGTGGCTTGGTGTTAGGTTCTCCTGAAACTAAGCCATCTCAAAAGCATAAGCACTTTTTGTGAAGAGTTCTCCAGTACTGAGTTCTCTGACACTCGAGGAACTCAAGCTTTATAAAGACCTTCTGAACAAAATATAAGTAGGAGCCCACCCTAGTGTCAAGCCATTAGAGAGAAGTCAGTGTAACGCTGGCCTGTCTGTGGATCTGGACATGGTAGGATCAAAACTGGGAGACTGAGAGCCCCCTATTATTTGGGGGATGGTCCCTGTTGTGCCTGGACTATACCTGGGGTCCCTGAGCTGTCACTTCTCTTGGTCTCCTTCTCATGTGGAACACTCAGTTCCATCCATAAAGATTCTATGGCCAAGCCTAGGTGGTCACAGAAGACAGAAAAATGGGCAAGCAGGAGACTTGTCCATGAGGGGTAGTTGAGTGAGACAGGTCTGAGTACAAATCAGTACCCCAATATGCAGGAGGCAGGTGCACAAGGAATGGAGATGTGATGTTCAGGAAAGTGGCTATCTAGAGTCTTCCAGAGCTTTGTGGACATGGTCAACAGACCCTAGCAGGGATGTTTGAGGGAACTGTTGGCCAGTGAGCAGGGGGTGAGGAAGGGGTGAGGAGGGAGTAGGGCTGGAGGGTACAGTGGTCATCAGGGGCCAGGCCAAAGATGACATGGGTGTCTGGGGCTGTGGTCCATGGGGAAAGATAGTTCTGAGTTTTGCTGACTTCTGGTGTCAGGGTCAGGAAGGAGATAGAATGGAGTGAGTCAAGGCTGGTTCCCTGCTTCTGTTATGGGTAGTTGGGCAGAGGACAGCCCTTGACTCTCCAGATGATCTTAGAGGAGCATCTGTCACCTGTAGGTGCCAAGACCAGGCTGACCACAGGAGGCTTTGGGGACTGTCCAAGTTGGTTCAGACCCCACATTTAGGACTCATCAACTGTACGACTCTGGGTGGATACATGAGTGACCTTCTGGGCCTCCCTGAGCCCCCACAGCCTCACAGGGCCAGCTGTGTGCTGGGGCTGCCCCAGAGCTTAGCTAGCCCACAACAGACCTCAACGGCCCTCCACACCCTTCCTGTGCTGCATCAAAACACAGAGAAGAAAGAAAAACTCATTCCATGGCCCTAGAGTCAACTGCTGTGAAAATGTTGGAGGATATCTTTTCTTTGAGTATGCACATGTACATACTTTTACAAAATGGGGACCATATAGAAATGCTGAGTATGTAACCATGATATACTTGAGCTACACATATTTTTATCTCCCTACTTGTTCTATTAATTAGAGCCCCTACTTCCCTACCCATAAATACCTCACCACTTAAATTGTCCTGCTTCCTAAATGCCAAGCGAAGAAGGGGCTGAGAAGAAGGCTTCTCTGTCCGTGTCTGCTTCTCCTTCTCTGGGCCACTTCATGTCCCTATTGAGTGCTGAACCTGCACAGCCCTGTGGACTCTGCCGCATTCTGCTCCCTCGGTTGGCGTAAGGCCCTTCCCAGACTACAGGAGCCTCAGTCCCAGGGCCCAGGTGATCGGGTCGTAGTTCACAATCACATGTTTTTTCCTAGAGCATCACACATCCAGGGAGGCTCAGCCCCACGGTGTCAGAACCAGCCCATTCTTCCCAAGCCATTAGACTCTGGAACCCTGGCCACCAGCCTAGATGGGTCCTGTCCTGGGGAGTTCCACTTTGGGACTTCTATTGTCCTTTCCTTCCACTGGGCTTTGAGTAGGGCCTGCTGGGATCCCTCAAACCTAACTCCATTGTTTCAAATCTTATGGAACAAGGGATGGGGGCTGAGTCTGTAAACAGAAAACATTCACATAGCAGGCCCAGGCTGATGGCCTCAGAAAGACTGCCTTTGGCGTGCATCTGGGGCTTGACTGATAAACAGTTCCCTATGACCAGTGACTCACTCTCTTTGCTCAAGTTTTTGTGCAAACTGCGTTCCTTCTGGAAGTCTGGAATTTGGGTACACGTCAGACAAAGAGCACTTCCCACCCCTCTCCTCCAAAAAAACCCCAAACCCTGGACTCAGTTACAACCTCCCAGTAGACAATACTTCCTGCGTGTTGTTGCCATTTGTTGCTGGAGGAATTCAGCACTTCGGAGCCTCTCCACTGGGAGAGGACCTTGGACTCCCATGCCTGGCTTCCTCTGGGCTTCGCCCCTGCCTGTTCACTTTGCTGGTTTGGCTTTGTGTCCTTTCACTGAGCCCGTAGCTGTGAATGTGACTGTAATGTGCTCTTGGGGACCCCTGACATAGGGTCCTTTGCTTCCCAGAAGGCCTCTGGGTCCTAATGCACAGTGTTTTCTACATCTCGAGGGGGTCTTGTCACAGACCTGCCTCGTCAGGCTGAAAAATCCCCACACCCTTGCACCGTGGTCTTACATCATAATACAAGATCTTTGTAGTAAGTCACTGTCTTACCAACAACTTGCCACCCCCTGCCCCAGCTGCTTGTCCTGAAAAGCTTGTTGGCACGTTTCTTACTAAAACTATTTTCTCTTGGCTGCCGCAGGCACCCTTCTGCTTTGATCCCACTACTTTGTACTCTCACATTCTGTATTGTTAACCTTCAGTGTGATTGTTAGCATCACTGGTGCCCCCTGTGGGATGTGCTAATTTAACTGCTCCTCTTTAGATGGACACCCAGATTGTTGCTGGGAGCCGCTTGTGTGTAAGTCTTAAACCACAGATCTGGTGGTTTCCTTAGGAGCAGCCCCCTCGGGGTACAATTGCTGAGTCAAGTGGGAAATTGTTTTTCAAAAGTTACTGAAAGATGTACCTATAGTGTTTCCCTGAAAATAAGACCTAACCAGAAAGTAAATTTCCACTGAATTAATAGCACGGTGATGGTCATTGTCACGCAGAGGATTACAACTTACTCCAGGCTATTGTAAGGCATTTAGGCTGCTGGGGGCTGGCAGCTTTGATCTCTTGTTAGGTCCTGTTTTCAGGGAAACAGGTAGGGTGTGCAAAACCTCTCTGGCTAGTAGGGAATGAGAAAATGATCTGTTGGACTCTCTGCTCCCAGTGGCCAGTGCCCATCTGCTGTCTGTTGGGGAGTTACCAGTGGATGGTACGGTCCTTCTTCCTGCTTGAGGGAGGTGTTGGAAAGGCCTCCCTGAGGGCGGGTCATGGGACCAGGACATTTTCCAACTTTGGTTCTGTAGACAAGCTAAGGGCTGCTGCTGACTTCAGCTCATGACTCCCACAAACACAGCCCTGACCGCCCTCTCTGCTCTCTCCCATTATTTGAGGATGCTGAGAATGGATCTGTGATTCGGGATTTTGAGCAAAGGCCCAAAGCTCCTGTGTTGGAATGCAGCGTGACAGGTGACAGCAGAAGGTGACATTTCCTTTGTTTTACATGACTCCGCACAAGTGAGAGTACACATGGAGGCTACCGTAGAGGCAATACAATGATAGGTCGTTGTTTGGTTTGTTTGTTTGTTTGTTTGTTTTAAAAGCAAATATACAACTGTATTCCCCTATGTTGGTCTCAGGGTTTCCACTTTTTTTTCCCATGAGAATCAAGTGGATGCGGCAATACTTTGAAAGCCTTATATACTTAAAGAGAACATTTTTTGTGGTTAGTATAAAGACAGCCAGAATTTTCTTTGTAAAGTATCTTTTCCATAGTTGCATATAGACTGATGCTGAGTTCAAAGGGCCTTAGGCATCTAGTCCAGCCCCTCATTTTTCAGGGGAAACTGAGGCCTAGGGAAGCAAGGCAGGCCTGAGCTGTCATCTGGGAAGGCTCAGGGTGGGGAGGCAGCAGCACACAAGAGAAGGGTCTCCGAGGGCTGGGTATTTAGCTCTGTGGTGCCTCGCAAGTGCAAGGTCCTGAGTTTGATCTCCAGCACTGGAAAAAAAGAGAGAGACCTCTGAGCCACCTTTGCCAAAATCCACTTACACAGATAGAATACAGGCCTTTAACAGACCAAGGAAGCCTGCTTTAATATGGATTTGTTTTTACTCTGAGCAGCACAAAGACCAGGAGACTAGTAAAAAATTAGTATGAGATTTACATTTCACAGGAATTTATTTTATAGAGAGAATAAACTTTGCCATAGAAATGTGCATTATAAGATATAGGTATGCAATATTTAAATATTTTTGCTAAATGTACAAGAAAATGTTTCTGAACATCACATGCTGTCTGTGAAAGCATTTTCCTGTTAAAAGAGAGATGTGAGCAGAGAGAGAAGGGAGTGTCCTTGTGAACTGTAAAGATCTTAGAAATAGCAAATTATAGGGCCAGGGATTTAGCTCAGTGGTTCTGCCACCTGCCTCACAAGCCCAAGGTCCCGAGTTCTATTCCCAGGACCAAAAAAAAAAAACAGAAAAAACAGAAATAAATAGCAAATTACAGACCAGAAAACAGATGCTTTTTTTTGTTTTGTTTTGTTTTTTTTGTTTTTTGAGACAGGGTCTCACTGTATAGTGACCTGGAACTCATTATGTAGCGCAGGCTGGTCTCAAACTCACAGCGATCCTCCTGCCTCAGCCTCCCAAGCCCTGGGATTACAGGCATGTGCCACCATGCCTGGCTAAGATGCTTTTATAGCCCTAAATATAAAAGAACATCTTCAAAGTGGGAGGCCCTGGGTTTGATTCCCAGTAATCCCCAAAATTAAATTAAATTAAAAATATGGGACATGGACATTGCTGTATGCAGATACCACAGTATTGGGCTAGGAATATAGCTCAGCGGCACAGCACCTGCCTGGCAAACTCGTGGCCCTCAGTTCGATTCCTGGTACTAAAGAGCATCTTCAGGTGGCTGAAGGAGTAAGGACAGTGGCAGTGCTGTGATATATGGCAGTTCCAGTGCCATATATATCTCTGTCCTCAGTGGGAACTCACCGCTCACTGGAGTGCATATGGCATCTTTTGAAAGCTTGGGCTGGGGATTTAAGTTCAGTGGTTCCGCTCCCTGCCTTGCAAGTATAAGATTTCGAGTTTGATCCCCGGTAAAAAAAAAAAAAAAAGAAAAGAAAAGAAAAAAGAAAGATTATTTGCATCTTGGTCCTAAATTGTAAAAAAGAATAAATAGTTGTCAGAGAAACCAGGGGCCTAATTGCCTCAGCAGTTAAGACTCAGGTTTGTCATTGTATTTCCAGAATTGTTGCAGCATCCTACGACAAAACAGTGAGGGCGTGGGACCTTGAAACAGGCCAGCTGCTGGTATGTTTGCCCTGCCTGGGGGTGGGGGAAGGCAGAGCACTGGGCTGGGCTGGCCTTGGGAGCTTTGGGCTGGAACCAGGGTCCGGGGAGCTGACAAAATCCCCACGCCTCCAGGATGAGCATTTTCACAGTGACTGAGGTGTACTATGAACCCCGCAGTAACCATGGGGGGCAGTGCGGGGGCTGCCCAGGATAAGGGGTGGGCACTGGGGAAGGAAATCCTCAGCAGGCAGAGCAAGGCGCCTGCTTAAAAGGTAGGGAGGGTTTGGATCCACAGAAAGAAGCCGGGCTGGGGCTGGGACTGGACATGGCATTGCAGGCTCCCCTGTGAACTGTTTGGATTTGGTGAGGCAGGAAGTGGGGCTGAGGCCATGGACAAAGGCCAGGTGGCCAAAGAACCAGGCTGTGGGTCTTCCCCGATCTGTCCTCTTGCTCTGGGACGGGGTCACTCTCCACCCATCCCAACAGGACTGGGACCCTGTTCCAGGGCCTCCTCAGGACACTCCTGTCGTCACCTGCACTGTCCTCCCCTGGCAGACTTGGTGCCCCTCCTCTCCTCTCCAAAACAACCTTCCCTTTCAGTGCAAGAGTCAAGTATATTCACTGTACACATGTGTGTCTTTTTCTTTGTACCGGGGATTGAACTCAGTTCCTTGTGCTTGTGAGGCAGGCACCGGAACCACTGAGCTAAATCCCCAGCCCCCACTGTAAGCATTTTTAGAAAGATGGGACAAGCCATGTTTAAAAGCAAACAAATAACAGGTGTGGTGGTGCATGCCTATAATTCCAGCACTTGGAGAAGCTGAGACAGGAGGGTGGCAAACTTGAGGCCACACTGGGCAATTTAGCAATCCAGCAAGACCCTGTTTGAAAATTTTTTTAAAAAAATATTTTTAGGGGCTGGGAATGTAGCTCAGTGCAAAGGCTCTGGGTTCAATCTCCAGTATCACAAAACAAATGAACAGGAAACCTTAAAAGCACAACTCAGAGATTATAGTTAACGCCTCGGTGTCTCTTTTCCTGTACAGTTTACTTTCGAACCCAAGTATGTCCTATTTAACAACACATACTTTCTGGACTTTGACTCCCCTGTCCCTGATTAACAATAAACTGAGTAAGAACAGATCTCCATCATCCTTTTTCTTTTGTCTTTGTTTTGGTTTGGTTTTGGTTTTTTGAGACAGGATCTTGCTTTGCAGTCCAGGCTGGTCTTGAACTCACTGTGGAGCCTGGGCTCACCTTGAACTCTCAGCAATACTCCTGCCTCAGCCTCCTGAGTGATGGGATTACGGATGTGCTCCACCAGCCCCAGCCCCATCATCCTTTTCAGTGGCTGCATGGAATTCCCCTGGGCACACAGGGCAGGACTTGTCTCACCACTCTGTTAGAGGACTCTCAGGCTCTTATTTTTGTCTATGAACACATTATGTTAAAGAAAGTTTGCATATACATGTGCTCCCATATTTCTTTAGGGTCTAAAGCTGGATTCCATTGCTAATTCAAACAGCATAGGAACACAGAACTTTAAAAGATGCTTTCCAGCTAGAGATTTAATTCAGTGATTCCGCTGCCTGCCTTGAAAGCACAAGGTCCCAAGTTCAATCCCTGGTACAAAAAAAAAAAGCTTTCCAGCCAGAGATTTAGCTCAGTGGCTCCATGCCTGCCTCCAAGCACAATATCCTGAGTGTGATTCCCAGTACTGGGGAAAAAATAAAATTAAATAAATAAGATGCTTTCCAGGAAGTTTGCCCACTCATACCCTAAGCACTCAAGGAGAAGGCACCACCTCCCACCCCACAGGCTGGGCATCATGAGTTTTCCAAATTATAAGCAGTATGGTACGTGAAAGATGAGACTTGCACTGATCTCTCCCGACTTTGAGTATTTTCTCAAGTGTTTATTTCTTCTTCCGCAAATTTCCTTTTCTTGTCACCTTAACTGGCTCTGGCTCGGGTCTCTTGTGAAGCCACAGTGATGATGTGGTCTGAGGCTGCCTTCAGCCTAAGGCTCCCCTGGGGCTGGAGAACCCCCTCGGAGATGGCTCACTCACTGGCCCTTGGTGGGGGCCAGTTCAGCTCCACGTGGGTCCCCGGGGAGACCTGGGGCTGCCACACGTCCTTGGGTCATCCAGTTACCTCCCCTAGGGCAAGTGATCCAAGAAAGAGTGAGGAGCAAACCTAGATTCCTTTGTTGCTTTTGTATTTTTGGAGCTGGGGAACCCAGGGCCTTGAGAATGTTAACCACGTTCTCTAGCATTGACCTACACGCCCAGCCCCATGATTTCTTTTATATTCTAGCCCCACACTTTCCCTTCTGCCATATTCTTTTTTCCCCCCTCATTGAGTTTATTGGTACATTTTAGGTATACAGTACAGTTACATTCATTATTGGGAATGTGAAGTTCTTTTGTTTTTTTTGGGGGGGGGGACAGGGTCTCACTATGTAGTTGAGACTGACCCGGAACTCACTATGTAGTCCAGGCTGGTCTTGAACTCACAGTGACCCTCCTGCCTCAGCCTCCTAAGTGCTGGGATTACAATGTACAACATTGTAGCTAGCTCGTCACCCGCTTTTTTCCCCACAGGACACTGAGAGTGTCCCGGGATGTACAGCATCTTGTCCACAGTGCCAGGCACAGGGCAGACGCTCAATAACACTTGTTTACCCCATTGAATAGGAATAAAGTTGGCCATTGCTAGAACCTTGCTGCCAGTTCTCTTTGTGCCCCCAGCCCTGTTCCTCTGTCCTAGACACAGATTCATTTATCACATTTATTAACAAGTTAATTAATTAAAATTAAGCAAACTTAAACCTTCAGCCCCTTCTGCATGCAGCTCAAAGACCACATGTGACCAGCGGCCCCCATTTTGGACAGTGCATGGATAGAAATTTCCATAACCACAGAGTTCTACTAAGTGGCTGGGCCAGTGAGAGGGAGGAAACGACCTTTTGATTGTCGCCCCCTTTCAGTGGAAGATCAGGCATGACACCTTCGTATCCTCCTGTAAGTTTTCTCCTGATGGGAAATACGTGGTCTCGGGCTTGGATATTGATCGTGGAATCTGCATAATGGACGCAGAAAACATCGCCACCGTAGCATACATTGAAGGTGAGGCCCCCTGGGCTCCCAGCTGTGTCTTGCCCTCCACAGGAGCACTCGCTTGTCACTTCACCAAGAGTGACTTGATGAAACTGTCACGGTAAGAACCACAGCGTTCAAGCTGGGACGCTGCGAAAAGCACAGTTAAGACCAAGGCTGGTCCTCTTTGGTTAATGCTTTTCATTTCAGTCTTGGACTTCTAAAAGGTGCAACCCAGCCTTCCTAACATTTCTACCTGGACGGATGGATTGATTGGCTGATTTGTGGTACGCGGGATTCAGCCCTTTTATTTTGAGACAGGATTTCACTAAGTTGCCCAGGAAGGATTTAAACTCACGATCCTCCTGCCTTAGTCCCTGCAAAGTGCTGGGATTATATGCAAGCACCACTGCATCCAACTTCTAACTATATTTTCAAAATATAAAAATAATAATCACACACACAAAATAGCCATCATATGTGAATTCCCTGGGGATGCTGTAGGATCATGATTCTACCACTGGCGAAACTGGGTAAAGGTCACTCGGGATTTTCCTGTGTTCTTCTCTCCACCTGTGTGTAAGTTTGCAGTTACCTAACGTTTTTAAAAAATGCATTTATTGTAAAAAAAAGTTTTTTTCAGGGTGGGGGATTTAGCTCAGTGGTTCTGCCACATGCCTCACAAGTGCAAGGACCCGAGTTCAATCCCCGGTACCAAAAAAAAAAAATTTGTTATTTTTTTCATTATGTAAAGAAAGAGTGAAAGGCCAGCTGTACCTGTCCTGCCCCTCAGAGGTATTATCATTATTATAATTATTATTTTGTGGTTTCAAGTATGCTCTGCATGTGCCGTAGAGCATTTGCTCTTCCACTGAGTTCAGTCCCCAGACCGGAGAAACTTCTTGCTGTTGTGATTTTGTGGTGCTGGAAATTGCATTCAATGCCTTTGCACTGAGCTACAGCCCCAGAACCCACACCTTTGTAAAATAATTTTTGAGGACTAGGGATTCAGCTCAGGGGTAGAGCATTTGCCTAGCAGGCACAGGGCCCTGGATTTGATCCAGAGAAAGAGAGAGAGGAAATAAAAATTTTAAAAAAGGTTTGAAGCAGGGTCCTCCTGAGTTGCTAAGTTGCCCAGACAGGACTCACAATTACAGTCCTCCTGCCTCAGCCTCCCAGTGTGCTGGGATTACAGACATGTGCCCCGATGCCTGGCTAGAGGTCTATTGTTAACACTATGGTGGCCTTCCTGAACTGTATGTGTGACATACTTCCCGTATGTCCTTTCTGTTTATTTTTACTGATGTGTTACCATGACCCAAGCACCACCCCTAATGGATCACCTCACATGCTGCCTCTCCTCTGCTCTACCGTCTATCTGTGGACCAGAGTTCTGGCTCGGTCTCCCTCCAGGCCTCTGCATGTGCTGTGCCTTCTGCCTGGGGTGTGTTTCTTTTCCTGCCTGATGACTTTTAGGGCCCTCTGTGGACCCTTGGAAGGCGGCTAGGCCGGAACCGGCCACACAGTCCCCTCATGGCCCTGGCAGTGGTGGGCTGCTGCCTGCTCAAGGGCGTCTCTCCTGTCGCACAGGGAGCAGGTCAGCTGGGCTCAGTGTTCCGAGCCTGGGTCATAGTAGGCGCCCAGGAAACGAGTGTGAGGAGCAGAGTCACTTATGAAAACTGGAGTTGCGTCTCCATAGCAGTGGCTGAGCGGCCCAGAGTGTGGTCCTCATGGCAGCGAGTCACTGTCCTGTGCTGCAGACCATCACAGAAGGTCGATCACCGCATGCTGCTTTGACCCCGACAGCCAGAGGGTGGCTTCCGTCTCGCTGGACAGGTGCATCAAGATCTGGGATGTCACCTCCCGGACCACGCTGCTCACCATCTCCAGGTGAGAAGGGTCCGGGAGGCCAGCATCATCCTGCAGCAGGGACACAGATGAGATGCCTCCCTCCAAGCCCTCCAGAGACAGCGTGCAAATGCGTGTCCTGTGGCCGTGTCTTCAAGGAGGCCGGAGACACAGGCAGGGAGAAGCCACCAGCTGTGGCCTGCAGGCTGGGCTGGGCCCAGGTGCAGAGGTGAGGCCTTAGCACAGCCTGCACTGTGGGCCCTCCGTGGGTGCTGCTCCTGAGAGCAACCCCCAGGAAAAGCCTGGCTTAGGGCGCCATGGGCACGCCCTCCATGCTGCTGCTCAGAGCCCCACCATGGTGGCAGCGAGGGGGTGAGAGTTCCCTCTTCTGCTGTCCCAATGAACATCATATGGAAGAAGGAGATAAGCAAAATGTCTATTGGTAATTTTGATTATCTTTTTTTTTTGTATTGGGGATCGAACTCAGGTCCTCGCGCTTGTGAGGCAGTCACTAGTACCACTGAGCTAAATTCCCGGCCCAGTTTTGATTATATTAAATTGATCACCTCTGAAAACATACCATTCATTTCTTTTTGAGACAAGGTCTGGCTTTGTAGTTCAGTCTGGCCTTGAACTTACTATGTAGCCCAGGCTGGCCTCAAACCCATGGCGATCCTCCTGCTTCAGTCTCCTTGGTGCTAGGATTACAGGCGTGCGCCACCACACCTGGCTTTCACTGTATATTTCTGTACTGTGTTTTTTAGGCTAGTTCTCTCTACATACCCCATGCTGGCCTTGAACTTTTGGAAGGATATTTTCACAGGATACAGAAATCTTGGCTCTCAATTCTTTTCTTTCATGCCAAGTCACTTTCTCCTGGCTTCTGTGGTTCCTTATGAGATATCTGCCATCATTCAAGTTGTTTTCCCCTATTGATAAGATATCATTCTTCTCTCTTGCTGCTTTCAGGATTTTTTCTTTATCTTTATCTTTCAGAAGTTTAATTATGATGTGTCCAAGTATGCATTTCTTTGGATTTATCCTGTTTACTCAGAATCTTGAGTATAGAGGGTTTTGTTTTGTGGGGGTTTTGCCCAATTTGGTAAAATTTTAGCCAATATTTTTCAATTACTTTCTTTTTTTCTTCTTCAATTACTCTTTCAAACCTCCCTTCTCACCCCTACTCTGGTTTTTTGAGACAGAGTCTCACTATGTAGCCCAAGCTGACCTTGAACTCAGAGTGATACTCCTGCCTCAGCCTCCTGAGTGCTAGGATCACACAGCTCAGTCCTCCCTTCTTTCTCCTCTTTTGGCTACTGTATTTTTCACTTCTAAAATTTCCACTAGATACTTCTTAAATCTTCTATTTTTTCACTGAAGTTTTTTATCTTCTTGTTTCAGGCATGATTTATCATCATTGTCCCATGGACACTTTTATGATAATTCTTTAAAAGTCCCGGTCAGACCTGGGTGTGATGGTGCACACCTCTAACCTGAGCACTGGGAAGGCTGAGGCAGGAGGATCCCCTTGAGTTCCAAGGCAGCCTGGGCTACATAGTGAGTTCAAAGCCAACTTGAACTACATAATGAAACCCTAACTCAAAAAAACAAAAAAATTCCTGGTCAGATAATTTTAAAGTCTCTGTGATCTCGGTGTCGGCATCCATTTATCTTTCTCGTTTCTGTCGAGCTTTCCCTGGCTCTTGCAAGTTTCTTTGCATGTGTTGGCATTTTGTGTATTGCAAGACTCGGGCTCTATGTGCTGTAGGGCACATCTCACGTGCAGAAAGGTGGCCATCTGGGCTCCGCGTTCAACCTTTCTGACGGCTGTAGCTTTTCCTGAAATGCATGGCTCGGATGGGGCAGCAGTTATCTCAAAGTTTTCTGTTTTGCTTGGCCACCCTTTCCTGGGCCTTAGGTTTCGGAGAACAGGCTTTTCTTGGAGGTCTTTTTTATTTTTGCCCACACACATACTTTTCCCCTTTGATTGAGGGATAGCTGTCTCTTCTCTCTGCCTTCCACGGCCTTCTCAGATTGCCCCAGGGCCGTCAGCTGCGCTTGGCAGGCGCAGGAGAGGTGAGCGTAGCAACTCCATTGCGCCCAGAGCTGTGAGTCACACAGGTGCTGCCTCCGAACCTCTGCACTTCTGAGAAGATTTACTCCGTGACAGCTCCGGACGGGAGGTTTGTCCTGGGCACCCCGAGGAGCTGACATTTTTCCTCTTTGCACCTCGCTCAGTTTACGCCTCTCAGTGAACCGAGATGGGGTCTGACACTCCAACCTGAGCCCTGCAAACATGGTTTTCCTCAGCCTTTTCTTCTGGTGAATCAACTGGTTTTGCACAGAGATGCAGGGACGCAGTTATAGTTTCATTTGAAAATTCTCTTTCTAGAAGGAAATAAGAACCACAGGGAGAATACTTTGGAGATCACAAAACAAAAAGTGGCCGGAATCAATCTGATAGATTTTTTTTTCTTTTCAAGTAAAGAAGATATTTTAAAATGGAGAATGAGTAACCCAGACCTTTATTAACAAAGTACAGAACATTATTCTGTGCTTTAATGGCACTGAAGACGGTGGTATGGAAAAATAAAGCGAGGGAGAAAGAAGTGGGATGGAGGACATGGGGTGGGCTGTGGAGGGAAAGAGCCAAGCCCAATATCGCAGGAGAAAGGAGGAGGAGAGGGACGGTCCTCTGTGTAAGTGGAGGCAGCACTGAAGCTGAACGGCTGTTCATCCATTAGCCACCACTTTTCCCCCCTTAGGCACAAGCTGCTGTTGGATATCCAAGTGTTTCTCAACTGTGGGTAGTTTCATTCCCCCGTGGACATCCGGCAGTGACTGGAGACACTCTGGCTGTCATAAATGGGTTATGACAGGCGCTACTGGCATCTGCCAGAGGCCGGGGAGACTGCTAAGCAGCCAACTTGCTACAGGACGGGCCTCTACAGCAAGAATTATCCACCCCAGAGGGTCAGCATTAGGGTGGCTGAGAAATCCTGTGCCACAGTCTAAGCAGTTCATCTCTGGACTGCTGTGGACCAAGGGACTGACGCCCACTGGCTCCCAGGAGAGGGTGGCCGCTTCTGGGACAGGTGTTCTCCCTCCCGGAAGTGCTAACATGTCCCCTGTCTGTGTTTCAGGGCCCATGAGAGCGCCATCTCAAACTGCTGTTTTACCTTCAGCGGCCATTTCCTGTGTACAACCTCCTGGGATAAAACCTTAAAAATATGGAATGTCTACACAGGAGAGTTTCGGAACCGTGGCGCCTGCGTGACTCTCATGCAGGGCCACAAAGGCTGTGTGAGCTCCTGCTGCTTTGCCAGAGACAGTGAGTGACAAACGTGTGCCAGGGCTCTGTTCTCGAAGGGTGCTGGGCGGAGTTCTCCATTATTCCATTCATGTGGACTTTCTGAGACCAGAGGAGAGGCGATTTCCAGTGACTCCAGCCCTGAGGGTAGATTTTTTTGCCATGAAGACAAAAAAAAAAAAAAAAAAAAAAAAAAAAAAAAAAAAAAAATCATAGCCTCAAGTTTGTTTATAAGCAACAGAAACTCAGCTCAACATGGCTTAAGCAACGAAGCCCCAGCCCCAGGATTATTTGTGCTTTTTTATAGTAATGGTGCTGTTTAATATGGCTCTCAGGCACAGTGCTGAAGGGCTGTCTAATGTTCTAAGAGCAAGAACTCCGTGATGAACCTAACAGAGAAAACGTGTGTATTAGATACCTTTGAGTTCAGGCCTGAGCCTTAGTGCTGTTGGCTGAGAGTTCGATGTTAATGAATCAAGATCAATGAATTTATATAGGTTAAGGTGTCTTTAAACAGAAACAGTCATAAAACAAAGTTCTGAACCAATCAATGGATGAAGATGTTGTGACCACAAGTTTGCTGGGAGCAATGGCTCCAAACTTGCTGGGCTGATATCCACAGAGATTACCATGCATGACGAGAGTCCGCCATGGTTGCCTGGGTCACCAAGCCCCCGGGAAGGGTTTCCATGGCTCTTCACCAGGCAGCCTCAGCCTGCTTTGGCCTCATCGGGGAGGGCGCCCTTGGCTGGGGAAGCACCCAGACCCTTCCATGTCGTGTTGCAGGCTCTTTTCTCATTTCTGGAGGCTTTGACAAGACTGTGGCTATCTGGGATGTGGCAGAAGGCTATCGGAAGCTGTCCTTGAAGGTACAGATGCCAGCACCAGATAGATCTGAGATGTACTCCTGAGTCATTCCAAGCTGCGTCCCAAAGCAGGCGACACAGAAGCAAGACAGACCTGGATGCCTCCTAAGGGGGCTGGTGCCCTGTAGGGGGGACCAGCCGAGAACCAGCAATGAATCCTAACAGTGATGCATGGGGTGGAGAAACCACACCGGGAAACAGGATTGGTCACAATGGGGCAGGAGGGCTTCTTAGAGAGGAGGCTCTTGCCCAGGATGGCAGGGGGTGGGACACTGTGGCCAATGGACTAGTAAGGGCATTACCCAGGCGTGGGGAAGTGTCTGCGACAACAACTGTGTAGGGGGACACAGTGAGACCTGCGTGGTCATCTGGGGGCCCCAAGATGGGGGTCCATCGGCTGAGTGGAAGTTAAGAGCCCCAACTCAAAGTGGCTCTGTAGTTAGAGATATCATCCAACAGGGCAAGAATCCAGGGTTGGGTCATTCAGTGCCCGTTCCGGGGAGACCTGGTGCCCTGTGATCTCTGCATGTTCCCTGATTCTGACCTTTCACACTCACTTTTATCTGTCAGTGCTTGCGCCTGTTACTCTTTTTGTTTTGGTACCGGGGATCGAACTCGGGACCTTGCACTTGTGAGGCAGGCGACGGCACCACTGAATTAAATCCCCGGCCCATCAGCACCCATTTCTTGATATTGGTGTCCCCAGTGACCAAGCCGTCAGCCGTGCCGCTTGATCAGCACGTGTCCATGCCCATGGGCCCAGTCTGTCTCCAACAAGGGTTTGGGGATGCAAAGAAAATTTACCTCCCAGCCAATAAGTTTAAAATTGAATATTAAACCTCCCTGTGCTTAAAAATCCTTTTGTCCCCTTTCAGATTTTTCTAGTTTTCTTCTCCTTTTCTCGGTTCTCTCTCTATTCCTCCACCCTTGAATTTCTTTTTGTTGTATGTGAGAAACCTGTCCTGCTCCCCTTCTTCCTACCATACCTCGTGGCCTCACCTTCCACCTCTTTCCATCGGGGAAAGACCAGAGGGTGAGAAGCCATTGACCCAGAGCCCCAACATCATAAAGCAGTGCCAGCCCCCTTGCCCTTTTCTTGTCACTGTGAGTCACGGGGGTTGCAGTTGATGTGAAGCCAAAAGCCCCCTCCCTCACCGATAGGACCTCTGGGAGGTATTTCCTACAACAAAGAATGCAAACAACACTAAGACCAGATGGGAATATAGTCTTTTATTTCCTTCTAGCCTTCCAAATACCACAGAACTGTTTTTTAAAAATATTTACAGAGCCCATCATGGTGGCCCATGCCTAAAATCCCACCACTTGAGAGGTTGAGGCAGAAGGACCGCCATGAGTTCAAGGCCAGCCTGAAGTACACAGCAAGAAAAAAGAATAAAAAGAACACTGAAAACACATATGCATTCTATCACCTGTCTTTATAGTATGTTCTACCTTAAATGTTGAGCTGGGAAGTGCAATTATTGCTCTCAAACTTAAGAAACATTGGGTTCTGACTTTGTTTCTGTTGTTTTTATAAAAGTACTTTTCCTGAGGAGTCCCTGTTCAATTTTTATTTTTCTTCAGGGCCATAATGACTGGGTAATGGATGTTGCTATTAGTAACAACAAGAAATGGATTCTCTCTGCTTCAAAGGTAAACGTGCCCTAACTTTGAGTGACTTAAAATGTCTGTCACATTTGTCAGAGTCAGTAATAACCGAGAGTTATTCCCAAGTATGAAATTCCTGGGCAGGCTCGGCATGATGCCTGCGCCTGGGAGCTGCCTAGGAATGTGGAGAGTGAGTCTTTCCCTCTGCAGATGTGGAAGTTGCCAGGTATTTCTGCTGCTGGCAGAAATTGGCATTGGAGCTTTGTTGGAGAAAAGCAAGATTCTTCCATGTCTTTCTGGGTTGTGGCAACTCATTTCTCTGGGTCATTCTGTGATATTCCATTGTATGGGTGCACCATGAGCTCTTTTATTTTATTTATTTACTTTTTATTTCTTTCACTAGGGATTGAACTCAGGAGCTTGCGCTTACCAGGCAGGCGCAGCACCACTGAGCCACATCCCCAACCCTTCACGAACTGTTTTCTGATCTGTGAGTCACTGTTTACCTTGTTTTAGGATAGGACCATGAGACTATGGAATATTGAAGAAATTGACCAAATTCCTTTGGTCATCAAGGGCAGAAGGGCCATGGGCTCAAAGATAAAGCAGGTTGGTACTGGGCAAAATTAAGTGAAGACTTTCATTAGTCCTCTACAAATGAATTTATTCTTTGAACAAACATTTATGGAGCAACTGGACATACAGCCATAAAGAGTAAAATCCTCACCCTGTAGCAGCTTAAATTCTAAGAGAAGAGAGAAGCGGTGTACAGAGACAAGGGAGGTGTGTAGTAAGTCCCATAGTGCCAGTACTTTGAAGACACTGACAGAGGAAGGGGTGGGAGTGGGGTATTTAAAGGGTGGCCAGGACAGGACCCGCAGTGAGAGTGACCCGTGTGCAGCCTGGAAGCTGGTGGGGGTGAGCCCGTCAGATGTCCCGGGAAGGACTTCCCTGCTGCGGGAACAGCCCGTGCGGGACCCCTGGGGCAGCGAGCCTGGCCGGCGTGGCTAGGAGTGCAGTGAGTGCGGATGTGTGGAGGAGACGAGGCAGCACTGTGTGTCCAGTGCAGAAATGGCCGGACACAGCTGGACACTGGGAGCTCCTCTGCTCCGGCAGCAGACCCCGGCCTGGTCCCCTGGGCCCTATTCCCGTGCAGGAGGCTCAGGAACTCTCATTGCTCTAGGGCAAGTAGGAAGCAGATGAGACAGGCGAGCTAGGCCATCCCCATCCTCTTCTGTGTGCCGTGGCCAGAGGCAGGCCCGGGACCCAGGGGATGCTGAGCACTTGCATTGGCCAAGTAGAAACCCCTGTTTGTTCAGAAGTCGTGCCTGCCTGCTTCTCACGGTTCTGTAAATGTCAAGTGGACCCAGCACGTCACGGTGTCAGTGTCCCCTCAGTCCCGCAATTCCGCTCTGCACAGAGCAGGGGACAGGGCTGCACACTCACCCGTCTGCCCACCACCGAGTGGCTGCCCTCAAGTCCTGCCCTCCGCACAGCTTAGCCTCGGGGTTGGGGGGAGAGGGAACAGAAGCCTGCCCTCACCCAGGGCATGCCGGGTCCATGCTGGGGGACGGGAGACTCCGGAGGAGGAGCCCTTGCCTCGTCCCAGCCCGGGTAGCTGGGTTGAGCTGGGGGTGGGTGGGGAATTTCACCTTCATCTCATGAATCCCCTCTGACCGGCATCTCCTTGTTCCTGTCTTAAAATGTTTCCTGTCAGTGCGAAGGATGTGACAGGCCTCTCTCCGCCTTCCAAAGTGACAGCTCCTCTGAAGTATTCACCAGATGTGTGCTCTGCCGGAGAGAGGCACAGGACTCACCACTGGAGACTTCACTGTCATCGGAGAGGGAGGCCAAGGAGGACTGACGGCCAGCAGGCCCCTGGAGCGAGCTGAGCATCTGCCCCTCTGGAAGTTGCAGAGCTCTGCAGGGCCCCTTCTGTGGGGCCCCTCACCCGCTGAGAGGGCGGATGGGACCTGCGCAGGAGCCACACCTCGGCCGGGCTCCAGCACCAGCCACCTCCTCAGTGTCACAGCATCCTGGGGGGAATGAACACTCGGTTTTCACGCACAGTAAATCTAGATTCCTTTGGAAAACAAGTGTGCGTGTGAACGGTCGAAGCGGCTTTGCTCTTTCTAGGCCTTCTCCCCTGGTGTTCATTCTGTCTCATGTTTGGAACACAGTATGCGCTCACGTTCTGGAGTGCACAGCTGTCCTGCAAGGTGCCCCCAGGGGGACGGCACCAGCACTTCCTGAGGACAGGGTCACCAAATGAGCAGGAAGTCGCGTGAGGCTCCCCCGTGGTCGATGGCAACGCACTGTGGCTGCGACGGTTTGGACACGGTTTGTTCCTAACTGTTCTTGTGCTGGGAGCTTGGTCCTCCCTGCAATGCAAGGTGGGGGCCTCTAGAAGGGGAAGATGGAAGATGATTAAGTCATGGGGGCACTGCCCTGGCACGGAATCAATGCCATCTCTCGGGAGTGGGTTCGCATCAGGAGTCTGGCTTAGTTACCACCGAGCAGACTGTTAGAAAGTCGGGGCATCCACGTGTTCGGTTTCTTCTGCACGTGCTGCCTGCTGTCCTTACACGTGCTTCTGCCATGTGACGCCATCTGTCATGACAGCACGAGGCACTCATCAGATGAGGCCACCTGATATTGACCTTTCTTGCCTGCAGATCTCCAAGCTTAATAACCTGTTCTTTCTGAAGTATCCACCTTGGGTATTTTGTCACAACAACAGGAAACTGATTAAGACACTGCTAATGCTCCCAGGTGGCCACCTGCCAGCACACAGGAAGATCTGGTGAGACAAGGAGTGGTAACGGCATTTCCATTACAGGATGTTTTATGCTGTCTACCCAGACTGCTCGATGTCCAGAATGCCATCGCACATGTGGGCCCTCTTCCTGTGCCAGCAGCATATGTAAATCAATCCGGAAAGAGTGACATTTTCAGTCAACAAACATGCCCATTCCACCCCATGTGGCTCACGTGAGTTTTGCCGAGTGTTCCCTGGCGCACTATGAAAACCTGATTCCTATGACGTCAATGGTCTGCATCCGACAATTCTGTGTGTAAGTCTCACAGTCTGGAACCATTATTTGAGCAGCTCCTGCGCTGGTCACAGCACGAGTGACCGATCAGATTCAAGCTGACCACGCAGTATTTATTCATCTACTTACAAGACACGATGTACGCCGTGGCTCTGTCCTCCCGCTGGTTTCGAGGACTTTCCACACGTGCAGACAGCACAGCTGTGTGTATTCCTAGGGCTGAGCAGCACAGCTGGCCTGCGAACGTGAACGCTGACCCACTGATGGGCACCTAGGTTGCTGTTACAGATAAAACTGGGGAGAACCGTCCTGGGCGTAGACTTTTATATCCTTTTTATTAGCACCTGTGTGCAGTGCACAGTGTTACGGCTCCTTGTGGGAATTAAGGTTTGTACATAATCCATCTTAACTCCCTTTTCCCTCCTCTTTCCCTTCCCTCCCTCTCCTCCGTCAGTCTCCCCGCACACTAACCTTTCCGCGGCGCAATCTCCCACAGGAGTGAAGCTGGGCGCAGGTGCGGGCAGTGGTCGGCTCTGCCCAGGCCCCCCGGAAAGTGTTGGGACGTGGTGGCTGGTGTCCCCGAGAGAGGAGACCCCAGGGGACGAGTGGAAAGCCCGGGGAAACCTCTCCCCCACAGGATAGGTGCTCCCTGGCCATGGTCCCTTGAAGTCCCAGGTCGCTCGGGAACCCGTAAAGGCTTCACTTTGAAGAGAAAGATAAAGTACAACCCCCCGGCCAGGAAGAAGCAGCCCAGGTGAAGTTCTGGGCCCCAGAATACTCCTCGGGCTGCTGCAGCTCCTCGTGGAGCCTGGAACCTCAGTCCAGATTGAAAGGGAAGAGGACGCCTGGGGCGCTTGCAAACTCCGAGCTGGACTAGAACGGATCAGGATAGGCTCAAGTGGGGCTGGGGATTTAGAGTTCGATCCTTGGTTTAAAAAAAAAGAAGAGCAAGTAGGAACTGGCTCTCGGCTTCCAGGAATTCAACGGGTCCCAGAGGAGCAGGGCCCCCTATGTGGTTGGGGCCCCACTGCCTGAGAAGAGCCACACTAGGTCTGGTGAGCGCCAAGCACAGGACTGGAGGTTACAGTTGAGTTTAAGTCCCTGATGAGCAACACCGCCCTCTTGCGGCCGTAAACTGCTATCCGAAGCCCTCGTGGGGTTTGAACTCTGATGTCCGATAGTTGTGGCTGTGTTAAGAAAGCTTCTTGGGCTTGGCAGCCGCGCAGGTCAGTTTCAGCCCTCGGCTGGCCGCAGTTGTTCTAGGTTTCGCACTGTAGCCTGGAGCCACCAGAACCGCGACTCTCGGAGTATGAACCCATTCCCCATTCTTTTTTTTTTTTTTGTACTGGAACCCGAACTCGGGACCTTGCACTTGTGAGGCAGGCGGCAGGACCACTGAGCTAAATCCCTGGCCCAACTCACTCCCCGTTCTTGTCCCGGCATGTCTGACCCCGCAGGTCCCACCAGGAACCCAAAGTGGGGATCGTGATCTTAGCACTTCTCCCACACAATGGCTCCCACTGGGGAGTTTCCCAGATGCCATGAGTCTCTCCTCGCTCCAGGCTCACCCCTCCACCCTTGTTGCAGAGATTCCTAGACGGAGGACCCCTCCTAGCCTAGCCGCCTCCTAGAGGCCACACCTTCTTACTACTGTGACAGGGGTGAATTGGGGAGGGATAAACATGCTAACCATAAAAGACATTCTGGAGAAAGTTCTGAAGCAAAGTTGGGTGAGAGGCGAGACAGGAGAGGAAGATGAGATGTGGGAGGTGGAGTGGAGAACGTGGGCAGCCTGGGTGTCTTCTGGGGGGTGGAATTAGGAGGTCTGGGTGGATGACGGGATGGCGCGGGGAATGGTGGGGAAGGAATATGTTCCGTCAGCCATCTTTGCTCATTGAACCAGCCCAGTGGGAGAAGGGATCTGGAGAGGAAGGTCAGGAAGTCGGTCTTGCTCTGAGAGGCTCCGCAGGCATCACGGAGACCTCAGAGCCAAGGGATGGGCAGGCACAGCAGCCCAGATGTGAGCCGGGAGGGAGGACGACTGCACAGTTCCAAGAGACAGGGCCCGGGCCTGTGGGCCATGCTGACCCCACTGGTGGGTTTGCAGTGAGTGTTGGGAGACAACTCGCCACGGGTGTCTTGCATTTCTGCACATCTTATGAGCAAGGTGCTGCCTGCCCCTGTGCGGGACTGTCTTCCCAAGGAGATTGGTCTGTTCCCAAATAGTCTGGGAAGATAGCAACTGTGTCTCCTTCCAGAGCAAAGAGTGGGGCTCCCTACTGTCCAGCGTTTGCAGACAATGTATCCATTAGGCAGACTTACTGCCCATTAAAAAAAGGCTGGGTTCCCTGTGCTGAGGGATCCTTTGCCATTAAGCAGTCCACTGTGAGCCTGACTCTTGACCCTCTTTACTTTACCCAGTGGGAACTGGGGCCTGGGGAACCACCCCGAATGCTGATACTGTGACTACTGCTATTGCTCTAAGTGTCTTGTGTCTTGTTGGAAAGAAAACAACTCATGCATTTCAAGGTAGTTGACAATCCTCACCATCTTCTTCTCGCCTGTACTTCTTATTTTATAGAGACTGGGAATATAAATATTAATTTCCCGGTGTTTGGATGTGACCGTCTGACTGAATGCTACCCAGTGTGGTTTCAGCCAAAGTCTTTTGGAGGTGCTTGGGTGGTGGTTCTGAGAAAACATTTGTTTTATGAGTTTAAAGGAGACTTTCATAATAATAAGACAACAAATGACAAGTCATAATGTTTTTTAAAAATTTTATTTCAATATAATATAAGTAGATATTAATAAAAATGTTTTAAATAGTCTTCTTACTTTTATGAAAAAATATAGGAAAAATATCTTAACAAATTAATTAACAACATTAGTTAATACACTGTGTACCATATCTTAAAAGAATGGCCCAAATGGAGTTGGGCATGGTGACACACACCTGTAATCCCAGCAATTGGGAGGCTGAGGCAGGAGGATCACTGTGAGTTTGAGACCATCCTGGGCTACATACTGAATTCCAGGTCAGTCTCAACTACATAGTGAGACCCTGTCTCAAAAAAACAAAACAAAACAAAAAAAGGCCAAAATGTTAGAGTACAAGTTATAGACAATGAAACCCTCTTAAAAATAAAAATAAAACTCTGATAAAAAGAAACAAATACATAATAGCACAAAATTTTCTTTTCAGTGAACTAAGAGGACCTAGCAGTATAAATGAAACAAATTAGCATATATATTGAAATATTTTTGAAACCATGGAATATATAATTTGGGAAACTATGAGAATTTCTCCCTACTTCCTATTTATTTATCTTCTTTTTTATGTTTTCTTTAACATTTAATAAAAACCATGAATAATACATTTTATTGTATTTTACATAAGTTAGCCACCATAGAAATTTATATAAATTAAAAGGAAGATTAAGGAGGACCTAGTCCTGTAGGATATTTTCTTAGAGCATGAAAGTCAGAGTTAGTTGGGGAAAAGGGTTCAGACTGCCAGATTAAGTGGGTATTTAAAAAAGCTAAAATGCAGGTCTCTGGGTAGATAACCAGATGCTGGGATCCCCCCTATTTCAAAGGCACCATTCTTAAACACAGCCTGTATCTAGTTTTTGTTTCATTTTGTTTTTCCCCCGTCTCTCTAGCCTGGAATGCAAGTATGATGTTTGGTGGTATAGCAACCATTTTGTGACCATGAAGTAGCAAATATAAAAATAAAAACCAACATTCTAAAGAAAGAGGAGTGGTGAGCAGAAAAGGCCTGGTAACATTATTAGCTACTACACAAACTCTGGGCTACATTTTCCAGCCTAATTATAGTGAAAGACAACTAAACCCAAATTAATTAGGGACACAAAGGTCAGGTTTTGTTTTTTCCCACAGGTGAATAGATTAAATGACATGTCTTATTCATTTTTCATTCTTTGGCACTTGGAATTTAGTACAATGGTTAGAGTGGCTGCTAGGGTGGATGCTAAATGAATGACTGTTAGATAAATTTATATGAAAAAATTATGTAGAGTATAGGACATAGTAAAAGAAGGGACAAGAAATTTTAAAGTATTTATTGTTGTGGAAAAACTCAAACATCCTAAATTACATATAACAATAAATTCTAAAGTCCCACATACCCATCATTCAGACCTAACAATTAAGAACAAAATAACTCAGTGGTGTATCTCTTTCTGTTATACATTAAAAAAAAAAAAAAAGTGTGTCAGCCAGTGATAACTTTTTTGTGAAAGTGACATTTCCTCTCATGTATCCTGAGATAAAGACAAAGATGTAAGCAGGCCATTAAAGTTAAATATCATTGGGACTCTTTAAGCAGATAGAAAGAGGGAGATTTTTGGAATGTTACAAAGTCAACATCAAAAAAACTACAGTTGGGGGCCGGGGATGTAGCTCCGTGGTGGTGCCACCTGCCTCGAAAGCGCAAGGTCCTGAGTTTGATCCCTGGGACAAAACAAAAACAAAAACAAAAAAACTCTAGTTGGAAGAACAAAAGTCCTGTTCAGGTCAAGCTCTATTCAAGTTTTTATCCATAATGAGAGGAATGGAATAGAATCATCACTAAGACCCCCCTAACTCCCGCATTGTGATTTTTTTTTTAAATCTTAAATGCTCATTATTTAAATGGCATTTGATCCGCACACTCAAAGGCCTACTTCTGCTTTGAACTTACACTTAAGTTTAGTTACAAAAGTGCAGAGCTCCAGAGAAGGTTGAATTCTCAGTCCTGCAGGCCAGTTTTGCCAATGTCAGAGCCCTAATTAGGAAGGAGTAGGAGCCCTGCACAAGCAGTGTGGGTGGACACACTGATGTGTTGCAAAAGCTTGATCTTACCTGTCACCTGGGGACGGGGAAAGGAAATGTGGCTTTGTATACACAATGGAGTATTACTGAGCCACGATGAAGCATGAGCTCCTGTCACGTGCAGAAAACGGATGGAAACGGCGACCATCATGTTAAGGGAAATAAACAAGTACTGCGGTTATTTTCCCACATAGGAAAGATAAAAGGCCAGAAAGTCAACCTGATAGTAGAAGAGTGACTGTTAGCGGTTGGGAAGTTGAGGAGAGAGTGGATACCGGCAGGCTGGACTTGATCAGAGAATGCTGTGTGCCTTTGAAACACCAACTAGCACCTAAGCACTGAAACGGGGTCTGCAGGGCTTCTCAGAATGAGGAAGTAAGAGCTCCTCTTTCAACCTCAAGGCCAGCCTGGACAATGGAGTGAGACCCTATCTCAAAAAAAAGAAAGAAAGAACGAAATGAATTAGACTCACAAAATCAACTCCATTTTTATTTCTTTGTTTTTGAAACATTGTTATTATCTATATACTTATTTACATTTATTAGCTATTTAGTTATTTATTTGCAGTACTGGGGATTGAATTCAGGGCCTTTGCACTGAGCTATGTGGCCAGCCCTTTTTTATTATGAGACAGGTCTTGCTAAATCGTTAACTTGCACACGCCAAGTTTGAACTTGTGACCTTCCTGCCTCAGCCTCCTGAATTGTTGGGATTATGGACATGCACCACCAATAACACTTTTGGGTAGTATGTAAGCAACATCAAGGATAGTGCTTGTTTAAAATCTCTGTAATGTTAAAATGACCAGGCATTAGAAAATGTGACAAATATATCCTGCAAATGTACATCTTTCAATGTAAACTGTGAGCCAGGTGTGGTGGCGCACGCCTGTAATCCCAGCACTCGGGAGGCTGAGGCAAGAGGATCGCTGTGAGTTCGAGACCAGCCTGGGCTACACAGTGAGTTCCGGGTCAGTCTCAACTACATAGTGAGACCCTGTCTCAAAAAAGAAAAAACAAACAAACAAAAAAACCAATGTAAACTGTGTAATTGAGTAATTCTTTATTTTAGATTTGAGATTTTTTTCACAGCAGTATGAATAAAAGAAGGTTTTCCTCTAAGTGAGCAAATGGCATTGCAATGTTTAAAAAATCTTGATAATGTTTAATTTATTAAAAGCAGTAAGTGCTTGGGCAGGTTTTGCTCCTTCAATATTTCTACTGAGCTTCGAAAGAAAATCAAACAGTTTAAATTTGTGAAAGTAGAACATTTAAGGGAGTTTAATTAAGATTCTAAGTGGGATGTGAGGCTGTTGAAAGCGGAGTTGGTTGAGCATTCATCAAAGAACTCCCTGAAAGTGGCTGTCACATCTCTTGGTTTATAAATAGAAGTACTACTTGTAAGCAGAGCCCGGCAACTTGGGGAAGACAATGGTTTATCTGGTCGCCTTACATCGAAAATCACCTTCAGAGTGGAAGCCATCGGCTTCTCCATGTACGGACGCCTCCCCTAGGACACCAGGAGCCTCTCAAGCACTCTCCGGCCCGGGCATCCAGAAGCGGAAGCCTGGAGAAACAGTGCTACACACCGCCAAGTGTCCCCGACTTCCATCTGCCCTTTGTCCACAGCTCTGGGAGGCAGCATCTGCGAAGGCCTGGGGCCCCCACTCCCCAGTATTCACGCCCTGTGGAATCCTGTCCCAAGTGTGCACTGAACTTCCTTCTGGCAAAGGGAAAACAACAGAAATGATGGAATAAGACTCCTGAGGTTCAGTTCCAAAAGAACAGTGACATATATGTTTGGCACATAGTAATTCTGCGCATATTTATAGGGCACAGTCACACTTCAGTATATGGATACAACAATGCATAATGATCAACTCAGAATAACCAGCGTATCTCTCACCTTAAAAATGCATCCTTTCAGGGGCCTGGGACTTAGCTCAGTGGTGCCACCGCTTGCCTGGCACAAAAGGTTCTGTGTTCGGTCCCTGGTACTAAAAAAAAGAAGAAGAAAAATATATTCTTTCAGTAGCTCAGTGGCACCATACCTGCAGCAAGCACAAGGTCCTGAGTTCGATTCTCGGTACCGAAAATATATATCCTTTCATCTGCATGTGGTGGCACATGCCTGTAATCTCAGCACTCTAGAAGGCTGAGGCAAAATCATTCTCAGCCGGGGCAGTTTAGGGAGACTCTTGCCTAAAAAAAAAAAAATAGCCAAGCATGGTGGTGAACACACACCACCGTCATACGAACTCTGCTCTTCTTTTTCATTACCCCTTAAAATATTATTCTTGGGGACCGGATTTACCTGAGGTTCCACCGACTGCCTTGCAAGTGCAAGGACTGGTGTTCGATCTCTGGTACCAAAAAAAAAAAAAAA